TTTTACACCGCCGCGCCGGTAGTTTGTTACGATTTTATTTTATTTTTTGCCTTCTTACAGGTCGTTTACATAAAAAAAAAAAAATAGAACGTTATGAAAGTAAACGCATATTATTTTTTTATATCATCTTGACAACAGACAAGAGTGATATGAGATATTGTGATCTAATGAGGGTGTGTATTAGAATTTTAATTTTAAGGGGCCTCTTCTACGCTAGTATTTATTAAGGCACATTGTATAGGCAATTTTTCGCTAAAACTTAACATAAAGCTAACATTTTTGAACATGCATATTACCATAGGAAAGAAGTAACTAATAAAATAATAATATAAATTCTTAACCATAAAAATTATATACGACGTATTTCGGCAACAATGTTGTCATCTTCAGCGCTAACGATAGACTGAGCAAGAAGTATCTATTTTGATAATTATTTTTTTTTCAACTTTTACAACGCATATAGGATCTATTTTTGTACAAAAACACATGTTTCTACTTCAAACGTACTGTCCTTAAGAATACATCGATTTACATTTTTAAAAAACATTTGAATTCTTCACAACACTTTCAAGGCATCGGTCGTGGCACAATTTTAAAATTATTTTCAGTTAATTAATTATTTTAATATAAAAAAAATTCAATTTTTAACTTTTTTCAACTGAAATAATATTAATATATTTTAATATTATAATAAATATTTTTTAAAAACTTAAATTGGAGTATTCTTAGGAATAATACGTTTGAATTAGAATGAGTTGTTTTCGACCAAAAATACGCAGGTGTAGAGGTCCCTTAATGGAGTGTATTGAAATATTGAGTAGTAATTGTTAAATGGTGTATACAATACCGATCGAACTAACTGATTTATTAACTGACAAATGTAAACAATACCGCGTATCCGAGAGAAAGTTGTGTAATTAGAATTATAACTCTATTACTTAATTTCAACGTTTGCCTAGATTAAGGAGATACGATTGTAATTTTGACGAAAAATATCATTATATCGATTTTTTTAACTACCAAAAGTGTTTGCTACACAGTGTATTTTATATTTATAGTATAGTAACTTTCCTGCCCCCTTAGAAAACTTCCTAACAGGCTAACTAATGTTTTCAAAAGCCTGTCAAAGCGCAGGGAACTAAGTCGCCTGGCTGAGATGCAGTAGAGTGAAATTCAGCATGAGTCCAAAACAACATTTACTTTGCCACGAGGATACCGGATTCGAATACACCACGTTTGCGCCCGGGGCAACGCACGACCGTAATACCCGTCCACAAGTTGTACTTATTTGCAGTAAAAAAAACAGCAAAAATTTACCTTTTCCTCTTATAATTGTGATCCGGGCTATTTTTGCGCACAGTCGAAATAATATATTAATATTATAGAAAGTGCCGGCCGATGATCATACACCGTTTTTAACTATATATGATACATTTTTATTGCTGCAGGAGAGCATATAACACACGCGTTATGTGTGTCAAGAATGGATGCAGAGAAAGTGGCCGACGCCGCGTGTGAATGGCTATCTCCGTGTGTATTTAGTATAACTCCTGCAGTGGCTCGTCAATTTGTCCCCTTATTATTTTCAATGGAAATCATATGCAATCGCCTCGTTTGATGAGCCAATTTGACAACGATGAGTGTACCCGAAACGTGACTGTTGCCGTGGGTCTACATAACATGATATGATATTATAGTATAGTATAGCTGATATCGTCGTGACAGAAGAATCAATTAGTTTGCCAACGGCCTCGGGTGCAATTACGAAGAGCGAAAGTAAAGTTCCTTTGGGAACTATAAGACCAAGTATCTATAACGGCCGAGTAGATTACACTAATAAGCGTCCAAAGAGAGCAGGGAACGCCCGTGTGCGTGCCTTTTGTACCGCGGCGCGGCGTTGAAGTCTCGACGAAATCGACGTGTCTCGAAATATCAATAAAAGAACAATGCTACTGTACACACGGCATGTCTTCAGCGACTGTTGCAGTTCTTAATGCTACATTGTATTTGTTAAGTCAAATTTCGACTATTTATTTATTCGAAATAAGATACTTAGTGCGAGAAAATTCTTTTTAATGATGAAACGATGTTTCATCTAGGACTTCCTGTACATAATAGTAATTTCGTTCAGATTCCGAGCCCGTTATAAACGGTAACCGAGTATAGTAGGCGTCGTATTAGATGATTATAAACGACCGGATCCTCGTTAAATCGTAAGCGTGTACGATAATTATTAATTATAAGGACCAGCTCGTTGTTCCAAATATCATATGATTCAGTCGAACTAAAAAAAAAAAGGAATCGCGGGCAATTATTATTATTTTTTTTTTTATCCGACCCGTACGGGAAATAGACTGCAATTAACGATAAAACGCGATGCGGCCCGAATACCGTAAAAAATAATGCACCGCGGCCGACAATAATTATTATTGAAAACTGCACACACACCCTGTTACTATTTTATATGAGCAAGAGCAAATTGGTTTCTTATCACTCGGATGGTTTGCTGTCGCTTTCTATAATGATATAGTATGCGGGTACGCGTTTCCCGGCGTACGATCCGACCATGCGACGGGCAATTAGCCGTCAGAGATGTGTGCCAAATTTCACACCTTTGCGACTCTTGTTTGTCAGACACTGACTGAACCGTACGCCATAGCTAGTGTCGGCGAACGGCGGCGGCGGCGTTGGACTTTCATTAACCTAATTCTTAGGCTGCCCTAGACGTACAAGGGGGAACTGGTCACATACGAGAAAACTGGTTTGCGAGCGCTGTTCCCTAATATCTTCTCGCGAGTCTGGTGGCCGACCGTGACCCACTGGATCGTGGTACCACAACGTGTAGGCCGCCCTCTCGACGGGCCCACATACACCGATGATAACCCGTGTTTACCCGACAGGTTAGCGACGATGAAATTGCAGCACGATCTTAGTGTGATAACTTCCCCCGGAAACGCGATGGTTGTATCAACCGCCCGTAATTGTACATGGGCGTACACGAAAACGACTAGTGAAGGACATCGAACAAACCAACCCTTATTATTCGTGTGTACGCCACACCACCACACGTAAAACTACTTGTAAATATTATCTAAAATTAATTCGTCCGAGTATTTTTCCACGGCGTTTGAAATATAATTCAAACAGTGCGAACTATACTAAATTGCACGTACGGTTTGTACGAAATTGTCCGTAAACACTTGCCGCGTGGTCTCTAGAATTATTGCTTTCGCCGGGTTCCATCAAAATTAAATCGAGAGAAACGTTACATCCATAAAAAAGATATGTACTCGACAACACGGCACTTGTGATCTGAACGATCCATATAGTGCGGCACTGGTTTACTTAATGGATAATAGGAGCAATGAGTGCATGATTTACTCTGAGGAAAGAACATCAATCAAACGTCAACATCATGTAGTTGCTCGATTTTGCCATTCTGAAAATACAATGCTGTACATTGTTTAGATTTAAATGTAGGATTTTTTTTATTGTGTGTAGTACATACAATTGCATTCGGTTATCAATAATATGGAAGAATATTAAACTATCACTGCTAAATACAATGTAATTAAAAAAATAGTAATTTAAAACGGACTATACAGAAAAATAGTAACTAATTGGCCCTAGAGGTTATAGTTTATGTTAATGTAATTATTTATTCCAGCTTTTTGGCATGTCGATTCTTTATTAATATTATAATAATAGCTAACGATATTTTAAGACATGCTTCGAAGCTATTTTACAATTAACGGTAATAATTTCCTATCGCAGTTGTACATTTAAATCGATTACGTATGAAAATACGAAAGTACGGAAATAATAGTACATTTCGTTCTGGGCCATCGATGACAATATATAATAATATTATAATAAAAAATATTTATTTGACCTAGACAATCGCGACAATGCTCTATCTGGCTAGTCACGAGGCATCGCTAAAAAATATTGAATGTCGCGCCAAGGTCGTTTGATTATTTTTCGCTACTTAACGGTTCAGCGATTCAGAAAGTAAATTCAGTTGTATCTAAACAACATCGACGAGATTCAATAACCAAAAAAAAAAATTAGAATCACATATGAAACATGTTAATTACTTGTGAACGTGATCGACATGACTTCGGACGCGATGGTGATGAAGCCGCCACAATAAGAGAAATAATAAATACTATGATTATGTTCGTAGTATAATGACCATTCATTTGAATATGATATTTTTCAAGAGTTCGACCTTGGACGACCACAGTGCGTTTATCCTTTCTCCACGGACCGATTGTTACGAAGAAAGTACACATGCCGGATTATCGTCATTATAGCCGGCGTTTGAAGCGTAACCGAAAGGGTGCATACAAATTAGAGGTACTTAGCGATTACCTCCACAAACTAAATACACGTTGTTAAACGTACCGTCTTGATACACAAACACGAAACACGCGCTTTTACTTTCATGAAGAAACAATTCTCTACACACAATAAAAGTAAAGCCGTTGCAGTTACAGACAGAAATTCAAAAACGGAATTCCTATTGTCTATCTACATGAGCTTTGACGCCGGGTTTGTTCTTAACCTAAGTTGAAAACATGTTGTTGTAAACGATCGTTGTTCAATAAAAAATACGCATCCAAGTTATAACCCGTTTTTTTGTGTTAATAATTAATATCATATTTCTAGTGTAAAACAGTTCAAAATATGTTTTTTTTTTTTGTTTGTTTTAAGCATGACGAAACCATGAATATCGACTTTAACGAACGGGGTAGAATTTAACGGGCGAGGGACTACACGCAAAATAGTTATCCTACCTCAAGTTTCCAAGCCCTGATATCTCGTTTTCACCTAGACCATCGGGCGCTAAATAAAATCCGGTAGAATTATAAAAGTAGTTTACGACGCTTGTTATAGAAATTGAAAACGAAATGTCGTTTTCGAATGGAATTATATCGATGTAATAGGTAGTAATAATCGTAATAATAATTAGACAGTAATTAGCTGGTGTTACTCACCCAAATTGACGATCATATAAAATCCTCGTTCGGCACTCGTATAAAAAAAAAACCTGACGATCGTGTATGCTAATTATTTAACACCATAGGCGCCGCGAACTTGTGTGCTAGGGAAACACTTGTAATGTTTGGTGTGTGCGTACCGTACACTGTCCGATGTTTGCGGAGAAGACACTAGTATAATACTGACCCAGTGTCAATCGGCCGGCGGTAGAAGTCTAGCCGGCAACGACCGACTTTCTCTTTAGGCCCGCTTCCGTTGTCCCTCTCCCCCCGCCACCTTCCGGTAAACGCGGTGTCCGCGGTGCGCTCGGCCGTCCCCACCGCTCTCGTGTTTCGCCTCGCACACCTGTCATCAACCCGTGGAAACTTTCTACCGTCGTCACCTTGAAAGGGAACTTCTCCGGTTCGGCGATCGACGGGACGGGACGGGCGCAGGGCCGAGGGGAGAGCGTGGGCGCGTGTCGGCTGTGCCGCAACACGTAACACAACAAACGGCCGGTCATCTTCTTATTCACAGCCGAACAATAATTGTGCAGCACGGAGCCAATGCACGTTGTACTTACGGGGGAAGGACGCGCGCGACACAAGGGAAACCCGCGTGTCCGGGTTCTTTGTACTGCGAGAGAGCACATAGAATTATTGCGCAACGCACCGGCATCGGTCATACGGAATTCCGTGTACAAACTGTTTTTTTAATCCAAGTCATATATTATACGCCTTCCTGGTCGCCGTGACTATTTTTTTCTCTCTGGGGTAGTGATGATTCACTTTGTTGGGTTTTCACTAATTCGTGCACAATTTATTTTACCATTAGTCCCTAAAACAAAATAGAAAATCGGTTGTTTCTCTTATATAAATCAACTACATAGTTGAGATTGTCGAATCTCTACAATATTTTTAATAAAATCTAAAAAATTCATTTCAGTATTTTCAATCATGTTATTATTTTTTCCATATTATGGTTTACTAAAGTCTTTTAATTTTTTTTTTTTTGAATATAGACGAAACGTGAATACGAGTTTTGAGTTAATATACATATTATATACACCTTTATTATCAATAGCTTCGTGAGACACCTAAACTTTTACTTTTTGAAAATAAAATCGTTAATCGTTATTCACAGTCGTTTTTCATGCGATGCGGTTTGTGCGAGTGCGATTTAGTTATAAATATTGGGAACTTTAATTTTAATAGTTATTATAAGGATTATTATTTTGCCTAGATTTCTACGTACACCGTTTTTAAAATAACACAATATCCTTTCCTAAGTTTTGACAGCACGGAAAAAATACATAGTTACATCTTAAATTGTGGTTAATATAGGGGAACGGGACGTTTCGGCGATAAATAAAAACAAAATTAGTATATACTTTGATATAAATCAAATTATAAAATATTCTGTTAGATCATGATAGGATTCTTATATTTGGTCGTCCTCTTGATCTTAAGTTATTAAAAGATTCGATAGTACAGTATATGGATGGAACATTCAAAGTTGCATCTACTCTATTTTGTCAAGGTTTTGTTATACTGGCCGAATTTCAAGGGGGAGCGCATCCTGCAATTTATACATTGCTACCCAACAAAAACAACAAACGTACGAAAAATGATTTAGTATGATAAATGAATTATAACCTAATCTCTAGTCAACATCAGTTGGTTGAGACTTCGAACTTGGTGTCATAACAGCATTACAGAATTCATTTAATGATGTAAATATTTTCGGATGTTATTTTCATTTATGCCAACATTTTCTCAAAAAAAATTGGAGATTTACATTTATTGTCGAGGTGTAATAATGAAGCAAATTTTTGTGTTTCCTCCAAGCTCTAGCATTCATACCATTGTGTGATTTGAATATTGCCACTGATAAGCTAACTGACTAACAGAGCTTTACCCTTATTTGAATGGTTCGAAGAATTTTACATTGGGAAGAAAAATCTCCGTATCGGTCGAAGAAAACCACGCTACTCACCAGACATGTGGAATCTTCACTAACGTGTTTTGCAAGGGGGACATATTATTACAAACACCTTGTATCAGGTAATAGTCCTCCGAGGAAGTTGAAAAAATTTAAAAACTGACAAACGAATAAAAAAACTAGTTGTTAATTATAAAGGTTAAAATAATATAATATTTCTTAAGGGTATAGCAAATAATATTGCATTAAAATGACATGTTGTTATTTTTAATTTATTTTGACTAATTTTATATTATATAATTTATTTATATAATTTTTAATGAATAATGCGTCTTATTTTTCATTATATTGCCTATTGAGTATTTCTATCATTTTTTTTTATATATCGCATAAATGGCCACGCGCCGAAACGGATATCGCCGAATTATCCGAGCCGAAACGTCCTAGATCCTTAATATAAGGGCACAATAATTGTATAGTTAGAATAACTAAATTAATAGTTGGCCCAACTAAATATTTGAGCCAACTATTTATTTAGTTATTTCAATTTCAAATGTATTGTATATACATCTATACTTTTAGTTGGGCCAAATATGTGTATTTCTTTTTGTGTATATAAAAAAACTTAGTCCCCGTCACTTCTTCCTGCTAACACTCCACTGAATTTCAATAAATATTTCATTTAATATTTATGAACTATGCATATTTGAGTGAAATGAAACGGAATGCAATTTTAAGTCTAAAAATATATAGTAAATATGGTAATCGGTATTCTAAACTTTTATAAAATATATATGGACAGATTTATTAATAAAACCGCATTGACATAATTTCATATGCGAGCACGATTCGCTATTAATTATATAAATATTTAGTCTATGACGAAAATTGTACATTATACTATACAAGATCATTTTTATAATTACTAATTAGATATTATAACGAGTACAGGAAATATGACTGTAGTCTGTATTCACAATACAATCTTAAGATACTAGAACGTTTTTTACACCAATATCGTCACAAAATACCTACTCATCGCATAAAATATTACTATAACAGCTAACAATAAGAAATGTATTCTCGTTTATTTAAAATATTAAAATGTTATGCATACATATTATATTATACGTACTTCGTATTTTTTTTATTCTTTACGCCATATTTATATAATAAAATATAATTTTAGGGAGTTTTTTACCATACCAGGATTTTCACCTAATCTAACCTAACGTGTCGGCTGAATTGCTTTGAATAATATTTATTATTATGAATTTTTGACCGAAGGACAAATATTAGAAGCAATAGAGTGCAAACATTATTGTAGACGCCAATTCAGTTTCGTTTTAGTTATTTTCTCCTGTCGCAAGGTTAAATTGCTTTTCTCGCCGTTCAACTGTGGAAAACAATTAAAATTTGCTCAGTTGACAAAACTGAGCAAAATGAACGTGTGTGATATGATTTTCACATTACACATATTCATTATACGTGTTTATTAATACGACATTATTAGTATTGGTATGAAAACTTGACAATTTCGTGCTTTAACAGGTATAATATTGAATCAGGCGAAGGTAAAGGAAAAAAACGTACGTCAAGGCCGAAGATGGTTTCATTCACGGACGTGGTAAAGTAAAAGCTAGTCAGTTGGTCGGCGGCAAATGAGAATTATTATTCTATACGTTATAAACGCCACGCTTGGAAAAACATTATTTATATATAGCATATATTTTCCAATACAACAATAGACTTTGTAATTTGTTTCATACAATGTTGTAATTCAAATACGTCTATTAAGTAAACTGAATATTTATACCATCTGAACGTAAAACTTGTTATATTTTTCTTGTTTATAATGGTGTATAATATACTTGTGTGTGATGGCTGATGAGTGATGTCTGAAATGGATGGTTTATTGTACTAAGACAATATTGTCACAACGACGACTTATAAAATTGTTCGCTAACTTTCCCTTGTATTTTTGTTTTGTAATTATTTATTCACGTTGAATCGGCGAATAAATCACCGGGGCGGCATGTCATGTTATTATAATAATCCCGTCATCGCCACAGAAGAGATTCCAGCAAGCTGTTATTAACAATGACGTCATGTGTGTATGCTATTCAAATTATTGTTGTCACATGTTTTCACGAGACGATAGGTCATCATTTTGGTATTGTTTAAATGTATTCATTGTGTTCGGATGATTTTTGCTGGTATGGAATGAAATCGAATCTCTATAAACTCGTAATTATAAAGTGGCTAAGTACCTTATGCTAAGTACCATTTGCCAACCTTCCGACACTTGGGTAGGTATTGCAAAAATTGTAAAACCGGGGCAACCTTATATACGCGTATTTTATCATTTCTAGGTTGCGTTTCAAACCGTACAGATGGCCACTTCGCATAAAAATATCATAATTTTTCATACCGTAGACTTTCGTTTCGCAAAACACAACTAAAAACGAAGCGAGTGCTCCGAGGCGTGGTGAATAATTTAGGGAGCGTCAAATCAAGCACCCAACGTTGGCATATTTGTTTTACATCAATGACGTATCCAGAATTTTTTCCGGCGGGCAGGGTTAACCAAATATTTGAACAAATTTAATTGATTTGATATAATTTGATAATACGACGTAATCAAATGAATCGACTTCATAGACATACAAATAAACTCGATTCGTCGATGTACGTCAACTTATCGTTATTGTGATTTAAGACGTACCTACGAGGAACAATTATTTGTATTAGGTAGGTACCTGAAAATTATTTTATTCGATAGCATATTCAGTTATTATTTGTAATTATTTAACTTTATTGTAGGCACTTACTAATAGTATTTTAATTTTTCACAGTGAAAATTTACGGTAGAGGTTACACCTTTTAACCGGTAACTCGTCTTGGATACGCTATTGTTTTACACTATCAAAGTATATAGCAAAGTGATGACTAATGGAAATTAAAAAAAAATATTATTTATTTTTCGCACTACATACAGGGTGATTTTTTTATCATGTGCCACTCAGTCTTTTATAGGGTTTATTAGGAAATTACTATTTTTTTATACAATGTGATCTCAATTTTCACAGCTTTTTTTATTTTACCGCCCTCTCAACTTAGTTTTTTTGATAGCAACTTTTGAATTTTGAATGCTAACGTATATATTTTATTAACTTTTAAATTGAGAATAATGTACTGAAAATTTTGACCTGTCGATAAACAGTTTCAGATAACTATTTATGAAGTTATTGAAGTTTCAAATCTAGGGCAGGAGAAA